CATTGCGCATGCCCGGTGAAAGGTTCACACGACTTTGCCAACCATAACGAACCACCTTCACTCTCATTCCCCAATCAACTCAACAAGTGAGTATTTTTGCATCGCAGAAATATCTGGCAGAAGCATCAAACAGTCATTCTCTGAAATCATTTTCTGTGATTATCCACATTTCCGTTGTAGATCATTCGTTACCCTGCTAGTAGTTAAAGAGGTGGAGGGCCATCTTGAAAGCAAAGGCACGTCGACCTAAAATATGACCAAACTGGCACACAAGAAGGACGACACATATTTACCTTAATCGAATGGCTTAATAGTAAACTATGCTCACGATGATCCTAGCAACGCCTTACTTGGAAAGCTATCGACAGTAACGGCGGATGGTGGAACAAGTTTTCGGCACAGAGAAAGAAGTACAAATGGAAGTAGACATCCAAAAGCAATCAAATCTCAGAACAATATGAAGAGAATATAATGTAGCCGCTAAATGAATGAGTGAGAACAGTATTATCGCACTAAGAAAGTTGTTTGACCCTCTAACGTCCCAGTTCTGTCAAAGGCCAGGCGTATTATCCTCTCCTGCAACGAGCGATGTCAGCCAAAAGGGAGCAACGAACTAGAAGCATAAGTTGCCAATTTTCTGCGTAGAATAATTCATGTTGATATGAAGAAATTCCGCACAGTGAGTAAGAGTAAGGCGCGACTGATGCAATCGGCGACGACGTCGTAAACCACACATCACGCTATGAAGCAACGCGATTCAAGCCGCATGGGCTTCAATGGCCTTCTAGAAGTATTTCTTGAAATTAAAAGTCGCCGAAGAGTAGAAGCCAAGTAAACCAATCAAGATTCTATCCGGCATTGCGTATAAGGTAGTTAAGAGTACAAATAGCTTATCGCACACGCTTTGCAATAGTGCATTGTGAATGGCTGTCGCCCCTCATTCCTTGTGCGTTCATCGATAGAAACATTTGGCGATTCGATTGCCCGAAACCGCCTAGTAGCATACTCTGTACCAGGGGGCCGCGATCTGTCATTTGTCCACATGGTCTGTTGGATCCTCCAACATGCAGAGCGGCCAGCCTTCTCCCATGTCGCCAAGAAGTAGGACACTCAAAAAGGGCACCGGATCTTACGGTATAATAATGAGGGGTAAACCCGCCTCATCTGCTGAAGAATCTTGTGGTCTCTTCATGACTTGCAGTATCTGAAAGTGACATTGACCATTCAATCACCTACACAATGCAGGCTACATACGAGGGCAACCCGACCGCCGCCGGCTCTCCGCCAACAGAGGCCACCGCTGCTTCTCCTGCAGCTGTCATTGAACCTGCACCAGTCGCAGCCCAGCCGGTACGATTATAAGTCTCCTGTTCCCAATGATATCTATGATAACCGCGATCACGAACTTGCACGCAAGACAGAGAAATGAGTTATGGGCACTTTGCTGATGCTATTCGGGCTTCTAGGATCCTCAACCTGCCGCAGATGATGACGAAGACTCACTGGCCGGCTCGGAAAGGTACAAGACGCCACTCTATTCCGGGGCCGGGGCTAACTCAAATAACGCAGCGCCGCCACAGATTCAACTGCCTCGCTAGCGGCAAGCATTACCGAGTATCGGAAGATCCATGGCCGCACTTACACACAGAAGACCGACTACTGGGGGCCTAATGACGAGCAGCAGAATGAGGGTCTAGAGCTTGCGTGCGTAAACCCACAATGCTTTCAGACTTTGGTTCAATAACACTCACACCTTTTACAGGCACTACTGGGAAACCCTGTTGCTGGATGATAGGCTATTTCTTTCGCCATTGCCAGAGAACCCCGGAGTAAGTCATGTTGAATAGCTTGCCCCAGATGGGTTGCAGTACTGATGAACGAGACAGAAAGTTCTCGACCTAGGCACCGGGACCGGCATCTGGGCCATGTAAGACGTTTTCCCCTCGAGCTTCTTAGGACTTTCGTCTGACCTTTGTCATTTGAGTGACTTTGCCGACGAGTTCCCTACGTCTGACGTGACGGGTGTCGACATTTCACCCATCCAGCCAGGCTGGGTGCCTCCCAACTGCAAGTTCCAGATAGACGACGTCGAGCAACCGTGGACCTGGTCTCCCGACTTCGACTTCATTCACCTGCGTCACATGGAAGCTTGCATTTCCGATTGGCCAGCATTTTACAAGCAGATCTACGATCACCTCAACCCTGGCGGCTACTTCGAAATCAAGGATTTCGACATCGAGTTCCGCTCGCAAACGAACCCCGACTTGCCGGAAGACCACATTTACCGCCGATGGGGTAAACTCTTCTTTGAAGCCGCCAACAAACTCGGCAAGTCGATGGACCAGTCTCGGGGAGGGCACAAGATTGCCAACGCACTCAGAGAAGCTGGGTTCGTCGACGTCGTCGAGAAGACATGGCCTGTGCCGATCGGAGGCTGGCCCAAGGACCCCACTCTTAGAGAGATTGGCATATGCAACTTGGAGTTTCATGATCAGTCCCTCGAAGGATTTTCAATGTTTCTGTTGACACAGGTGATGGGATGGGAGGGCATTCCTGCCGGAGTGTTCGTCGCCGAAGCGCGGAAAGCACTCAAGGACCCTGAGCTTCAGACCGTGATATACTTGTGAGTTTTCCGCGAGGATCAAAATGTGGAGGTGCTCACAAAAACCAGGCAAAACGTGTATGGACGCAAGCCCGAAACTGCGGTATAGTTGACGGAGAAGGAGCTTGTTGGGTTAATGTGACCTGTGACCGTGGCTCACCGAAACCTTGACGGTATGGCCTTGGATGGACCCAGCCTTAGGGGGACTCAACAGCGTAGAGTATTTATAAATCACGGCCTAGAAAAAATAACGTTGATATACTTTCTTCTTTCTCATATTACTCAAAGTGGAAGACATTCGCACACTCAACCATGGATTACAAAACGCGACTTCGTTTCTTAAACATGTCGATCCGAGCGGCGGCGGCCCCGACATTCCCTCGGTTTCAAGACCTTCCTTGCGAGATACGTTTGATGATATGGCGCGAGTTCTTTCTCGAGCCAAGATTCTTTCGGTCCGTTTGTAAAGTGCTCCAAGCGTGGAACAGTGGTCACAGCTATGATTTGCGTTGGACGCTAGTCCACCATGGATGCTCGAGAACATACTACACTTCTATCGACACGCAAATCAACAAAGAATCGACAGAGGTGGCCCGCAAGATCCGTCCAAAGTCTTGCTTCCCCGTCTTTTCGCCCGAAATCGGGGTTCGGGGACTAGAAATGCGGTGGGACTCGCATCCCATGTACTTCCACGTCAACTGGGACGTCGACTTTATCAGTCTCGATATCGCTGACGCCGGAATTCAACTGACACCGTCCCCCGAGTGCTTGTTGTGGTACAGCAAAGTTCGAAATCTATCGCTGGGGCCGTTCCGACAAGGTGGCATTACGAAGCCGTTTGACTGCCTTTCACAAGAAAACGACTGGTTGTGGGAGAGACGTTCCCTGTTTCCTAATCTCAAGAGCATCATCCACTGCCTGGATCCTTTTTGGGCGCCTTGGCACAACAACGCTTGTTATTTCCAAACAAGATATCTCTTGCGATATTCACAAAAGATTCCCCCGCAATGGAAAGATATAGCGTATAAGGTTTGCTTTCTGAGCCCGTGGACAGTTCAGGACGACACGACGCAGCCTCAATGGACCGATTTTCTCGAGCAGCTGCGCGCGGAAGGTTGGCACCTTGATTTGGACTATTTACAGGACGAAGCTGAGGGCGCAAAACATGTTTTTGAGGGATTAATGGAACCTTGAGATCTAGCAGTGCAAGGACGGTAAACATCAACATCCAGCGAGAGTCTTGGGATATTTCAAGTCGGGTTCAGATTTGTTCACTCCGCATATTTCCCGACAAGAAGCCATGCTACCAGACGTATGCGCATACTGGTTTACTAATCGAAATAAAATTGAGCGGTTTTCCAATGCATTTGATCCTTATCACGTGGGCGGAAGTGCTACAGCAGGCAACCCTGACAATGAAAAAGTAAACGGGAAAACAAACCATAAGAAAGCTCGGGCTGGACCCTATAAGGGTTTTTCGCAGCTTCCGTTGGATTTCAGGCAGACAGGCGGGTGTCGTGTGCTGAGCACTTTGACGGCCCAACAATTCCCAGGCGTCGAGAACATGTTTGTCTCTCCCGCACCAGAACGGCGGCTGCCTAGTTCTCAGTATAAGGGTTATCGACATAAATTCCTGGGCCTGGACTCGACTGCTCGTAGACCAGGATAATGAGTCCAAATTCTGACGCGATGCATCAGCTTTTATACGAAGATCTAGCATCAGCACAGAACAGAGCAACTGAGATTGGACCGCTGTGATTGAGGAGACCAAAGCGTCCACGAAGTCACCAATGCCGGTCACCGAAAGGATGTTTCGTTGCCTAGATAAACACAAACTTAGATCTGCCTTAATACTGTGAGCCACAAAACATGCCTTGATCAGCGTATTTAACACGCCTCCCAGAGCCACCACAGGTCTTTCCCTCTAGACCGAAGACTTCCAAAAACAGCCTTTCATGAAATGGAACATCGTTAAAAGTTCCGTCCATCTGAGCACGACTAGCAACGGTGCGCCTAGATTCTGAGGGCACATGCCAGATGCCCCGGAGAGACTTCTGGGATGTAACCACTTACGTATCTGTCGGAAAGCACGCAGTAAGGGCATGAACAACGCAACCAGAGACCGAGGGTACCTTAAACTGATGTTATTACTACAAACTGATGTTATTACTACAAAAGTACAAGCCGGTCACGCTAACCAGCTTCTCTAACGGCCACACTTTCGGAGCACGGACACACATGCCAACATGAATTAAGTCCGATGAGATTGAAGAGATGTCAAACTAATTGGGGTATATGCCAGGATCCCAAGATCCTCATCCTCAATCGCCGATGCAATGATAACGCCCCGCAACCCAAATCGCTTGCTCGCTTGCTTCATATCGCTCGCTCGCTAGTTTCATACCATCTCCGTAGCATCAACAGGCTTCTGCGGCGTCTTCCTCTCCGACGACACCCGATCAAGTGATATCCTATCATCATCCCCGTCCTTGTAATCGAACGGCGCGTCGTTCTTCAATGGCCAGTTCCGCATCGTCGTCGCCGTCATGGGCACCAGGCCCTCATCTTCTGGAATGTCCTTGACAGCCTGTCGCCCGAAGCTCTTGCGCCGCGTGGACTTGGGCACTGTGGGTGGCAGGTTCGTCATGGCGGCGGCCCTGTCGAACACTGTGGGCGAGTTGGGCTCGTCGTCGTTCATCGCAAACCGCTTGGAAATGCTTGGGGCTACATGTCTCATGAATGCCTTAAGGAAGGGCAGGCAGGTGCAGATAATGCCGACGTTGGCCTCGACCACGCTGTAAGAGCGAAGTTAGCCATGGCCTCGATAGGGGGTGAAAGATGGGTACGTACCACCAAATGATGCTGATCGATGCGGTCCAAGTAAAGTCAGAGTTGTTGAAGCCTATCGGGATCATAACCATTCGGACGATGCTCGGTCCGAGAACACTAATAGGCACAGCCAGTCAGAACTCGTTCCTCAATCTAACCTCAGTAAACGCGGAGCCTCGGGCTTACAATCCACCGGCCATCAAGAAAATCGTCATCTCAATCTTCTTGACCAGCCGTAGAGACAATGGCGAGAGAATCCAGATGGGAAGAAGCAGGATTGCGAGATCTGTGGCGACATTGCACACAGAGAGCATCAACCACCACATCGCCCGGTCGACGCAGGTTCCTGGCGTCTCGGGCTCCCAGATCTTGGCCATTGGCGTGCAAAGGTAGACCCATCCGAGAGCACCAGCGGCAGAGTATCCTATCGTGGCAAACATGACGAGGTAGACGGTCGTTCGCACCATTGGCTTGAGTGGGAAGCGGAGGTAAAAGACCAATATCGACGCTTTCGTGAACAGGATGGAGAGACTGTAGGCTGCCAGGTCGGTCATGCTCAATTTGTGGAAGGCAACGGCGTCCGCCCTGGACACGTCCCAGATGTGGTGTCCCGCTCCATTGCGTGTCTCGTAGACCTGGATGACGGAGTACGCGGTGGCAAAGACTAGGGCAACGAAGATGAGATCGTCGTCGAGCTGGTGGCGGTGAATCACGACGCGGACGGTATACAGACGAATGCCACAGAAGATGATTGCCAAGAGGTTTAGCAGAATCGCTACGACGAGAACCTGTGGCACGAGGGACTCTGAAGGATTTTCGAAGTTCGAAGTCACCCCCGGTGGGGGCGGCGCAGCGCTGATGAGCTCGTCTTCACTCATTGCTGCCTTGTCATGATGAACCGGTTTGGAGATTAGTAGGTAAGAGGTTTGTCGGTTGTCAAGAACGGCATGACTTGCAGAAATGAAGGATCGAAAAAGGCGTCCGTGGATATTTACCAACCCTGAATCGCGTCTTCGGGTCTGAGATCTTGGAATCCTCTCCCCTGTCGTCACGGAGCCCCGTGGGAGCTTTGAAACGTTGATGGTTATTTGGTCGCACTGACTGGTTCGACATCCATCATTCGACCTACTAGTCACGTTTCCCCATCGGCAAATGCTACCAATCGTCGCTTCACCCTGGAAGCTTATCCGGCTTAAGCCTGGGGTTGTCGCGGTTCCGGCAGCCAAGCATCATTTTCCAGGGGGGGAGGCGCGGCGAGTTTGGTGTTTCGGGAAACGGCAGGCAAGCGGTCGGCATCTTGCTACGGTTCCTGAATCTAGTTGCCCCTTGTGCCTAGATGTCCCTGAAGATCTTCCCCCTCGCCAAGTGCTTGGTTGGATTAAGCTTGAGTCTAGGGCCCGCGAAAGAAGCATCGGGAGGTGTTTCCGACTATCCTAACTGGACGCTAGCGCGGGAGGGGAACAGCCGCAGAAGGGAGATGGTGCGGCGAGCAATGTTTGTTTCCAAAGCATAAACACACGGCGGGATAGAAACAGAGAGCGAGAACATCGCGATGTGCCGCGCTAGCCATCTGAGTTTTGCCGCGGAGGGGAGCATCGCGATAGGTTGGGTAGCTTCCGTCGGCACGTTGTCAACGGTGGGAAGTGGGAGCGATAGAGATTTAGACTCCCGCCGGCGACTTATCAAGCTTTCAAGGCGGATCAAGGGCCTGCGTCGAGATCCAGAGGGTAGCGTGGCCGATCATGTTGGAGGATGGTGGCGAAGCGAATCGTGTCGATGTTTCCCGCTTCGGAAGATTTCTGATACAATTCGTCGAGCATCCATCCCGGACCTGATGCACATCAACCCAAAGCTTAACCTAACTTCGGGCGGTAGGAGCACCAGCCTAGCCAACAAACTTCCAAGGGCCCTCACCCACTACACAATTCTCCGGCTGGCAGTGGTTCTGCCGTTGGGACGGCGGCGAGAAGGGGCGGAGGAACTCAGCTCGAAGGCGAGGTGTTGGTGTGCAGGCTGGTGATTGGCGGTGTCGCTTCGCGGACCAACCAGATAAGTCAAGATCGACGAGTCGTCCCAAGATAGACATTAAGAAAATGTAAGAAGGAAACGATATCGATGGGTTGGGTGATGGGAATTTCCAGCATTCGCAGCAATTTTGCCTTCAGAGTTGGCTCAGCCGCTCTTGGAAATTTCGATAAACACCTCCAAACGGCACATCGCCAACAGGAGGGACGGACTCTCGGCCCTTCGTCCAACAGCCGATGACAAGGGATGACGTCCGGTGGCATGGGCCGACGGTAGTCGAAGCCGATATGTTGACGGTTTCAGACCAAACTTCGAGTTCATGTCACGGGTTGCGGGGAGAGCAGTCTCAGCCGAACGAAGCGGTGCGCGCACGGTACTTGGACTTCGGCACATCCTGATGTCGACATTGATGGGTGCTGTCATCTGTCTGAGCGCTCGTCTTATCCCGCCAGATCGGAGTAGGAGATCAGCACGCAAGACTGACATGTAAAACCGTCGATATGGTCTGCGATATAGCTCCTGTGCATCGAATTCTTGCAATGCACCGGGCACGCGTTTCTTGCAAGAAAACGTTGTTGACACTCCCAAAATAACAGAGTGTGGCCGGTAGGTTCGTCTTTCGTCAACAGCCGCTCCGTGTCCGGTGGCTTGGCCGGGCCCCGATTGGCATGCTCGGCGTGGGGCGCGGATGCAGTGCTAGGGAGCACAGGGCCCCCGTTCCTGCAGGAGACTTTGGAGAAAGAAGAAGGTCGTGATAAGGTTACATTGCCCACGGGGCGTACTAAGCCCAAATGTGAAGTTGGCTGTGAATCGGCTCATCCCGACACGAGAAAAGGGAACGGTGGAACCGACGTCGGCTTCTTGGTCGAGGGGTGTCTTAAATGAACTGCAGATAGGAGTATTCGGAACTGCGACTGTCTCGCTCGGTGTCGACTTATTGCTGTAACGTGACGTGCTTGTTTACCGTCTTGAGCGACCTGCAAGGCGCAGATAGGAGCAAGATCGCTTTGCCAAGATGCTTAATGAAGGCCCTTGTCGGCCGCCCATGCTAATAGGGTCGCAGCGCCGAAATACGAACAACGATATTGCATTGCCCTGCATTGCCTAATGCACCAACTCGCCGGTCGCGCGCTAGACATCGAAATTGGGCTGCCGTGATATGAATCGCGGAAGATGTGATGCTGTTGTATATAACACGATGACTCCACGAGGAGATGCAGTGAGCGTCCCTTATCGCCAGGTCTCCTTGTGATCCGCGTTTTGTTGTCGGTTGTAGTCCCGAGATGCATCTATCGCGTCTTCTTCTCGCGGTCTCCGGCGTGACCGGGGCCGTCGCCCTCCGTGACCACCCCTTGATGCGCCGGGCCGACGACAACGCCCCGGAGACGGCCGTGAACAAGACCACGGTTGAGCCGAAGCGCTTCATCGTCGAGTTTAATCAGGTGTGTTATGTCCGTGCCTCGTAACCCAGACAACAACCGCTCACACCATTCAGGGAGCTGATGCCTCCGCCGTTGCCGACGATATCGCCAATCAGCGCGGCGCAAAGGTGCTTCGGGTATTCAAGAGTGACGTCTTTACCGGCGCGGCTGTCGAGACCGATGTCGAGAACATCGACTCGCTGCAAGCGCTTGAGCCTATCAAGCAGGCGTGGCAGGGACGAAAGTACAAGCTGGCGCCCAGCGCGCCTCTGGCGTCCTTCAGCGAGAATGCGACGGCCATCGGCTATGATGTCCACCACATGACGGGTGTCGACAAGCTGCATGCTGCCGGTGTTCTGGGCAAAGGCGCCAAGGTTGCTGTCGTCGATACCGGTATCTGGTACACCCATGAGGCTGTGAGTGGCGATCGAACGTCGGAGATCTAGAAGTTATCTGACACCCTTCAGCTTGGTGGTGGCTTTGGCGATGGCTTCAAAGTTGCGGGAGGCTATGACTTTGTGGGTGATGGAAGTAAGACCCTCTGATCGGAGTAGTTCCTTCGGATCTTGAGATTGACCCGGTTCTCAGCATGGCCAAATGATGGTGAGGTCAAGAACCCAGACGCCGACCCGTTGGACCAGCAAGGTCACGGAACACACGTCGCCGGTATTATCGCCGGCAATAGCAGCATGTAGGTTGACGCGAGAGATGCCCTCCACAACCAGCGCGGACCGATTCCTGACACCCTTCAGCCTTACTGGAGTTGCTCCCGAAGCCACGTTGTATGCATACAAGGTGTTTGGCAGCGTCGATGGGACGGACGAGGACACCCTCATCGAGGCTTTCCTCACGGCGTATGACGCCGGTGTAAGTAGCCTAAGGTTTCGGCGATCGGCTTCTGCTGACAGACTTCTAGGTCGACATCATCACTTCGTCTATTGGCGGCATCAGTGGTTTTCCGGATAACGCTTGGGCCGTTGTAGCCTCGAGGCTTGTCGACAAGGGTGTTGTTGTCACGATCTCCGCGGGCAACGACGGCCAGGCAGGTGCATTCGCTGCCAGCAGTGGATCATCCGGCGAGCATGTTGTTGCAGTTGCATCAGTTGAGGCCGATGTGTTGGCATCGTCGTCTTTCAGGGGCGTCTTCAACTTGGACGGGCAGTCCAACGAGACTCGCGTCGCCTACCGAGCTGTAGAGGACTGGTACCCTTCTGATGTGAAGGACTGGCCTATTGTGCCCCTGAGCCTCAACACCAGCACGGCCGATGAGGCATGCAATACTCTCCCGCCTGGCACTCCTGATCTGACTGGCGTTGTTGTATTGGTGCGCCGTGGAGGCTGCAACTTCGATCAGAAGCAGCGCTACCTCGCTCCTTTCAATGCCTCCCACATTCTTTTTTACAGTAACGACATGCCTTTGGTGAGGCCTACCACTGAGGACACCAGCAGTCGAATTGCCATGGTCGAAGCTGGTGTTGGTGCTGCCATCATCGGCACCATCAAGGCTGGCGGAAACGTCACGGCTGACTTCACTGAGCGCCCCATCTTCAACATTGTTGGTATCAAGAACGAGGAGAACGGCGGTGTTGCCAGCTCCTTCACTTCCATTGGTGCCACCAATGATCTCTTCATCAAGGCTGACGTTGCGGCGCCCGGCGGGCAAATTCTCAGCTCCTATGTTGGGGGCGGTTACTCCATCCTCAGCGGGACGAGTATGTCATGCCCGTATGTTGCCGGAGTCGCTGCCCTATACGTCAGCAAGTTCGGTGGTCGCAGTGTCTACGGTCCTGAATGGGCGAAGAGTCTTGCCATGCGCATGATATCTTCCGGCGAAGCCATCAAGTGGGATGATGGAGCGCTGGAGAACAACGAATATCCCTTCTATGCTTCTGTCGCCCAGGTCGGCACTGGCCTCATCAACGCCAGCAAGGTGCTTGATTATGAGACCACACTTTCGTTTGCCAAGTTCGCCCTGAACGACACCCACCACTTCAGCCGATACCACTCCGTCGACATCACCAACTCTGGAACCGAGCCGGTGACCTACAGTTTTGAGCAGCAAGAGTTTGGCGGCATGAACACCGTCAACCTGGATCCGACCGCCTGGGGAACTCCCAAGATCGCGTGGGGTGAGGAGGTCTTGGCCACGCCACAGAAAATGACCCCTCAGATCTCCTTCCCTGGCGCCGTCACCATCCAGCCAGGAGAGACCAAGACCACCCAGTTCAACTTCAAGTACCCCGAGAGCCAGGATCTCGACCCCGCCAAACTCCCCTTGTACAGTGGAAAGGTCCTGATCAAGGGTAGCAACGGCGAGACGCTCGGCGTCCCGTACATGGGACTGGCTGCTGACCTGCACAAGGACATCGGCATCATGTTCCAGTACCCGGTCGGGTGGCCACAGATGACATCCACCCGAAGTGACATTCCCATCGCTCAGAAGTCCAACTTCACCTTCAACCTCGACCCCGAAGTTCAGGACTTCCCCAACGTGTACACGCGTGCCCAGTATGCCACGCGAGAGTTGAGGTGGGACATCTTTGAGGAGTCATGGACTGAACGGGATTGGAAGTACCCTCCTGTGGTCGGCGAGGCAGGCTTCGTGGGAGCTGCGACGAGCTGGTCGAAGGCGCTGGGCAAGAACTACATCGATCCCAGTGTCGATGACCCCAACGACCTCATCACCCTTCCCATGCGTGATGTGCCTAGAGACATCGTAGGTTTATACGGTACAGAGCTGTGGTGGCTCGGACGATTGGCGAACGGCACTCAAATCGCGCCGGGCAAGTACAAGATGCGGTTCGCTGCTCTTTTCCCGTTCGGAAACCCAGAAGCCTCAGACAACTGGGATGTTTTCGAGACCCCGGCTTTTGAGGTTCTGCCATTGGAGAGTTGAATAGACGGTGGCAGTTATGATAGAGTTTCTTCCATAATGTCTTAATGTAATGAAGGGACTTGCACCTTGCATAAATTTCCAGAAGATTCGATTCATCTTGCTTTTGGTCGATCATTGACAGGAATGCCGCAAGTTCTCTGGTATCCCACACTGACATACCGACGTTGAGTGGCGACGCTAGACAGAGAATCTGGTGTATGTTGTTCAGTAATTTGCAACGGTTAGCACATCAAGACAGGATGTCACGAAAGGGGAGGAATGCTGAAATGGATTGCATCAAATATGGTGATTTCATGATGGGTATTAGATTTCAATCAGTGCGGAGGCATCATCTAAGCAGACGACCACCTCCTTACTTGGTATAAATAACAGTAAATGGCAGCAACCCTAGGCTAGGGCGGGATTGGGTATCTTTGATATTGTAGTCAGACGACAGGTCAGATCTTCTCTGTTCGGCCTCCGACATCGTGGGTCTGCTCGGCCAAGAAGACTTCATCTTGGGTAAGCTGGTACTTGGCCGACTTGCGGGCCGAGATGCGCTTCTGGAACATGACATCCATCTCACCGAACGTACGGCCCTTGGTCTCGAACAGACGGAAGTATCCCCAGATGAGAGTGAGAGTCGCGAGAACAGCCCAGAAGAATGCCTGGTAGCGAGTTAGTTCATGGTACGACGAAGAACGTGTTTCTTGATAACTCACAGTCTTTCCCTTCAAGTTCCAGTCACCGGGCGCGAGCATCTTCGGTTGAATCAGGCCACCGCAAATGACGTTGCCGACGTAGTATGTGCTGCGAGCCAGCACGACAGTTTGGGTACGGAGACGTGTAGATCCGACCTCGGACACGAGGGTGTAGACGATGGGGCCGACGGACATGGAGTAGGCACCGAGCCAGACGATACAGAGAAGGGATTGCGCCCAGATGATGCCTCCCTTCTGATTGGGGGCGACGGACAAGAAGCCGATGATCCAGAGGATGAGAACGAGGAAAGCAAAACCGGCGAGCCAGATGGTGCGACGACCAAGCTTGTAAATGTAGAACCACGAGATAATGGTACCAATGAAGGCAATGCCGGTGCCTCCCAAGCTGATGCCGTACGAGGCGTCCTCCCCGATACCGGTCTGTTGGAAGAAGAAGGAGCCAGAGTAGCAGAGCGCGCCACCGTTGGTGATTTGAGACATGAATGCCATGCAGGCGATCTCGGTACGGCGCAGGTTTGTGCCCTTGAAACAGTCGAACAAGCTGGCGCCCTTCTGCTCCTGGAGCTCGAGCTTGTTGGTGTGGACCATCATAGCAATCGTGTTCTCATGGTTGAGGTTGTGCTCCGGCTCCGACAGTCGCTCCAGTGACTTCTTTGCCTGCTCGAGCTTACCGGCGCGCACCAGATGCCAGGGAGACTCAGGCGCCAGGTACGCGGCGATAGCCAGGGGAATAGGCCAAACCCATTGAATGGCGAAGGGGATCTTGTAGCTCCACTCGTCGGTTCGGTTGACGAGACCCTTGAGGACACCGGCAGAGATGAACTGGCCGATACACCAGCAAAGGTTGACGTATGAGGTGAGGTACCCACGAATGGCCAGTGGCGTGACCTCAGCAGCGTAGGCTGGACCAGTAGTAGCAAAGACACCCCAGGGGACGTTGCACAGAACCTGGCCGACCAACTGCACCTCGATGTTGTGCGCAAAGAAGACGACGAAGACGAACGCGCTCAGCCAGAAGAGTGACCCGATGAGAATCCAGCGGTGGCCAATCTTGGGGGTGAGGTATCCGTTGAGCAGAGCGCCAATAATGTTGGCCAGGGCACCGAGACAGTTGAAGCGCTGCTGCCACATGGAGGAGATCTGGTATCCGTGCTCGTCGTCGAGGAATTCACCGTACTTCAATCGGAATGCTGGGTAGCCGTAGAAAGAGCTGAGAAGAGTGACGTCGTAGCCCTCCATGATGACGGTCGTTGAGATGACTGGCGGTGATGTTAGTTTTTGCGCCGACAACTTGGAACGAGGCACGGAGACTCACGAATGGACCAGAAGGCGGCGCGCTTGTAAGTCCTCAGACCCTCCCAGACGCCGAAGCTGTGCTCGACATCGGTAGCCTGAGCGGCTTCGGAGTTGAGAACCTTGTCATCGAGGGCGACATCGTTGTACTGGCTGATATGGGGAGCGCCCTTCTCCATGTGGATGGCGTCGTGCGGCTGGGGGGCCGTGTTGATGTCGCGAGACATGGCTGCTGGATTGTCCCGGTTGCTTGAAGATGTTGGCGGTTGGCAAGCTCCTGGAGCAGAGTCGTATCGAGAAGAGAAGGCCGACCAGAGGATGAGCTGGGGGAGGGGCGGTTGGGGTATTTTAAAGTCGCGTCGAGGCGAGATCAACGCTGGTCCCAGACGGCCGGCTTCTCGCGTCTCTCATACCACGGTTGCAGAATGCATGGTAGCAACAGAGCAGTAGCAGCAGCAGCAGCATGGGATGGAATTGCAACCACCCGATCCCCATCCCCATGGAGAGCATGCTCGCTTCCCCAAGCTTGGCTCCTTGCCAGCCATTCCCCAATCAGACGAGTTAGGGAACCCATGACTGTGCCGTGCCAGGAGACTATGCCGCTTGGGCCCAAGTCAGGCCGTACTCACGGGACCGGCAACAGAAAGGCAGGCCATGTGCGAACCGCAACCCGCAGTTGAGTGGAAAGGCGATCGGGGGCCCGGGGGCCTAGCGGCGGGATTGACGGTCTTGGAGGGCCATGACTGGTCGTAGAGGCCGGAGGGAGACAACTGCGGAGGAGGTCGAAGGGGGTTGGAGAGGTCTGAGTGGCCAGACAAAGGCGGAGGAGCCAACGGTAGGCGGGGAGGGGAGAGAACGGCAACGGTACGAGGCCGAGGGACTCGGCTGCCAGGGCTAGGATTGACTAGGACAGATGCTCATCTGAGGCGTCGAAAGCGTCGTGGGGAGGCGGCGAGTTAGGAACGTCGGACCGTCGACTCTTGGGGGACCTTTGGGGGACCTTTGGGGGACCTTTGGCAGGGTTGACTTACTTGGCTTGGGCTGGTTCGAAGGCGACGCGACGGAGGAGGACGGACGACAGATTCTCGAAGCTTGACTGATCCTGGGCTGGTCTGGGGAATGGTTGCTGGCGAGAGGATGGCTCGATTGGTGGAACTTTTCATGGAGATGGAAATTGATGGGATGACGATGGGGTGTGGCCGGACGAAGGAAGGAACCTAAGGACTGGCCTGGACGTGGATCGGAAGAGATGGGTGGGACCATTGTCGCTGAAGTGGGACTAGCGTCATCTGAAGAGGATTAGCGCATGTTAAGCGAGGCTCGGGGGATGATGTGGGGTAAGTCTGGGGATTTAGTGGCGTGATGGGCCGCACTGGAGTCTGGAGCCGCTGAGGAGTCGCTGGAGCCAGTGGAAGATGCGCTGAAGTTGGAGAGGTAGGTTTCCCCAACCTGCACCAACACCAACACCACTACACCACTACACCCTCTTCATCATTCATCCCAAACACATCTGCTTCCTGTCACCCTCCAACTTCCCCTCAGTTTCCCCTCTCGGTGCGGAGAGAAGGCAGGTCATGATATTGGCCTGAAAGAAGCAAACAGCCCAGAAATGCAAGAGAATTGGGGGGAGTTGCAGCTGCAAGTTGGTCCTGAAAGATGCTGAAAGGAACCCCTTACCTGTGCCAATTTCCAAAGGTTCAATGAGATGTAACGGTACGTACTTAATTACCTCGGAAAGCTTAGGTAACGGGAGTCTGGCTGGACCAGGAGTGGGAGAATCCACTGCCTGCCCGGTCTCTTCCGGGCTGACGAGCAAACAAAACATGAACTTCGAACAGTCCTCGTGCAACTGCGAACTCAGGATGGCCCAATTTCACCCACCACCCGATCGACCCAGCAAAGAAGCACCGTCTCCCTGCACGATGTGGTCCAGACAGGGAATAGGCCCTGACATTCGGCTCCAGACTTCCAACATGCCGCCTACCCCAGCCATTCAACGGCTCTGCTCCCTCTCGGCGCAGGGCACCTCTGGCGGTGGAGTTCCGCGCGAATCATCGCCCTGTCTTCCCCAACCGGGGGTCTCTCCGCTCGGCCAGCCTCGGCCGAACCTCTCTTCTCAGCTCCTTGCCATCCGGGACGGCCTCTTGGCGTTGGATCCTGTCTCACTTGACTAAGGCAGGGGTTGTAAGCTCACGGCTCGATCCCTCGTGCCTGGTATCGAAGAAAAAGACTGGAAATTCTGATTGATACTGGTTTGCTGAACATTCTATGCTAGGACCCTCCAACCCAAGACCTGTCACCGCCGAGTAGCGTCGTTTCCGTCTGCATTTCGCGTCCATCATGTACCATGGCCCCGGGTTCTGGATGGTACATCGATGCTTCGTCGGTACCACGGCACGTTGCACTAAGGGTCTACCGTACGGAACATCTGATTGCCCTTCTCGTCGACGGTGTACCGTGTTGGACCGGTTAGACTTCCGCTGGCCAATCAAGCATCGGCGGCAAGTAGACCAGTCGCATGTCGTGTCTCTGCAGAGTGGCTTGAGGTTAGTTACTTCATACGCCCGAAGACTGGTCACGCGGTGTTTGGGGTCCATGAACCAACAACAACGTTGACGGCACATAAGGGCGAGCGACTTACATCGACGAGCGGCCAGCCAGAAGCCCTGGTCAGGCCATTGCTGTACTTGTGGCAATCTCAAGTGAGGAGTGCTGCTCAGAGTCCTTCATCTCATCCTTCTGGACTGCTCTGGGGTCCTCTCCGCCGGTTCTTGGACACGAAGATAGTCAACGATGGGACCAAGACCTAGAAGGGTCTCGTCGTCGTGAATATCATTTTGAGTCTGGCCCTGCGCCTCGCCGGTAGAAACGGCCTCAGCATCGGCGCTCTCCGAGACCACCATGTCCGTGCCTCCCTTTCTGCGTCTGCTCTGCTTGCTCGGCCTTTGAGGAGGTCTCCTCGGAACTTTGGGCATCTATGTTGTCGACGAGCATCGTGTCGTCGAGACCCAAGTCTTTGGCCACACCGTGCATCTCACTCGAAGCCTGGTCCTGATCTCCGGACTGAGCCTCCCCGGTGGAAAACAGCTTGACATAGTTGCTATCCCCAACCACCAACTGCGTGAAGTTGCCCTCCTGCGTATCGGTATACTTCACAAGCTTGAACGCCTTGCGCTTCGACGTGGGACAGAACCCATAATCATGGTGGTCACGCTCATGCCAGTGGCAGGAACAGAACCCGTCAAAGAGCCACAGGCAGTTCTCCTCGACCCAGTCGCCCGGGTCCATCTTCGCCTGCTGCCACACGCACTGGTTGCAAGATGCCTAGACTTGCATACCGGTGCCCCGCAAGTTGCGAGGGTCTTTGGCGGGGAAGCGCTCGAACCACCACCGGTACCGCGTCTTCCGGCAGCGGCTGCAGTAGTGCGTCGATGTTGAGGTTTCGGGATGGACGGGGATGTAGTCATCATCGGAATCGGTGTCTTCTTCGGTCTGCCCTGCATGACCACCGGCGCGGGTGTCATCGGCGGAATTAGCTTCGGCGTAGGGAGTGGTGATGGCGTCGCTGCTGGCAATGTCGGTATCGGCGTCGGGGACCGCCCCCTCCTGGCGTTGGGTTCGGTCATCCATCGTATCCCTCTGAATAATCAGTATCTACTCCAACTATGATGACATACGCAACACTGACGACTTGGTACGTCGAAGGTAGTGCTCGAGGGACGTCAAGACAGCGTCGTTTGTGGTGGTGGCAGTAGGTTGCTCTCTGATTTTTCAAAGTCCGCAGGAAAGGTAAACAAACCTCCTAGTTGGCCAAGATGTTTGACGACTAAGCGGCTGTGAGCCATGGCGACAACCAAGTTGCTCTGCTGCACCATGACAGCCGCATTGATCGGCTATAGTCTCCTGCGGCTGTGCGAGGGCGAGACCTCCCAGCTCGGCAGAGATGCAGACCCTACTCAAAGGCGGTGATTCGAAGCCTTCTTCAGCATTGAATGCTTTAATCCTCAGTACCAGAAGCTTCGTCGTACAAAGAACCGGGATCGAAAGCTGATGAAAGGGTTGACGGAGCTTACGGCGACGGAATCTTCCCCAAAGACAACTCGTCTCTACATTTCCTTCCGTCTGCATCCGCCTTTGGTGGATCGCATTTGGCAAAGTCATACCGCCGATATCAGGTAATAGCAAATCACCCGCCCTGGTTCTGTATCAAAACACCTCAATACACATTGGAAATGAAGTTGTCCCATCTTTCATATGTCAACTGTATTTCAACATGCAATATGTACATCGAATTACAAAAGCCCCTGGTCAGCGCAGCCCTGCTCGATAGAAGCCAGGGTCCTGCGTCCGACGGTGGCGTTGTTCTCCCCGTAGGTCCTCACCTCGCGGTCCTCGGCCGTGTACACAGGCCACCCGATGGCGTCCAGTCCGGCAGTCGAGTCCTTGATGAAGGTCGTCAGGGCGTCCTCCATGACGTGGCTGAGCTCGTACTCGAAGGGGGTCGAGTTGCCGCGGAAGTCGGCGTGGGTGCCGAAGATCATGGGCAGCTCGCTGCCGTGGTAGGCGCCCATCCACGGGCGCGGCGAGGTGTTGTTGAAGACTGCGGCGTAGAAGAAGCGGTAGGTCGTTCTTCCGGCGGCGAGACGTTCGCTGGGGGTTTCGTTAGTTGATGCTCTGAGGGAGTGAGACACGAAGGGGGACTTACTTGGTGGTCTTGGTGGCCGGGCACCAGAAGTACTGGTACGAGAGTTGGTCGGCGACGGTCTGGTTGGGACCGCTGACGTTGTAGGGGGCGAGGAAGAGGCCCTCGTCGTGGTTGAAGCCGATGATGGCGGGCTGTTCCGAGTTAGCTTCTCACAATTCTTCTCAAAAACACGGCGGTCAACCTACCAGGTCAGAGAACTCGCCCAGGGCAGCCTTCTCGGTGTAGTTGGCGAACACAATCTTGTTGTCAATCACGGGCGAGAAGCCAATGGACGGGGTGACCCCAGAGTCCTTGTACGTAGCCACGAAGTTCTCCAGCTTCTCAGCGGGGATCTTGCGCATACACGCCAGCTCCGCCTCCGCGGTGGTCTGGTTGCCGCATCCGAGCTGTTGCGCGACAAAGGTGAAGTTGGACTGGATGTCGTCGTGGCTCATCAGCTGGTCCAGGTGGGCAGTACCAGAATCCATGACGAGGCCGCGCACGATGGGGTCCTGCGGGTACGCAAAGCTGTAGTAGTCGACCGCGATGGACCCGGCAGAGTGGCCCCAGAGCGTCATCCGGGAGGCGTCACCGCCGAACTTGGCAATGTTGTCGCGCACCCACTCGATGGCGAAGCGCTGGTCGAGCAGGCCGAGGTTCTGCTCCGTCAGGGCGGCGGAGTTGGGGAAGCCGAAGAGCTTCATGCGGTAGTTGAAGGTGACGAAGATGTGCTCCTGCGAGCGCTGGATCCACTTCTGCGGCATCTGGTACGGCACGTCGGTGCCGCCCGTCTCGAAGCCGCCGCCGTAGAACCAGATGATCACGGGCAGGCCGGCGTCGGTGCCGTTCGCGGCCGTCTCGCTGCCGGAGACGGCAGGGACGGCGCCGGCGGGGGTCCAGACGCTCGCGGTCAGGCAGTCCTCGTCCATGCCGGCGGCGCCGATCATGAACTCGGGGACGTCGACGCGCTGGATGGCCGGGTGGATGGAGATGTACTGCCAGCAGGAGGGGGGCAGGGCGGTGGCGTTGAGGACGGTGGCGTTGGCGAAGGCGTTGCTCGACTGCGGGACGACGTACGGCTGGGGCGGCTCCCAGCGGAGGTCGTCGAGGGGCGGCGCGGCGTACGGGATGCCCAGGAACTCGGCGACGTTGGACGCGTCCGGGGCGATGCGGCCCTGGACCGTGAGGCCGTTGTCGAGGCGGACGCTGGGGCCTGCGCTCGCGGAGGCGAGGAGGCCGGCGAAGGTCGCCACGAACTTTGCGTTGCACATCATTGGGGGTTGATGATGCCGGGTGGTGGTTGCACTCTTTTGGCGATCGATGGAGGGGAAGCCGAACCGAACCGCTGGAGTTGAAGAGACAAGAGGCTCTCTGTCCCCGGGTCTTGGCTGCAGACGTCAACGATATATATATCTCATGCTCTTTTTTTCTCTCACTACTCACTTTTGCCGTCATCCATCAAGGGATTCGCCGGATGTCGGGGGGAACCAGCATTCGTGATTATCGACACGGGCATCCCCCTGAGCAGAGGTCCATCGAATGGACCGATGCTCCACCATCACCGCGACTCTGCGGTGCCTATTCAGGAAATCTGGATGTTGCACAGATCGCATCGTCGGAAATTGCTGGGCAGAACCCCACAATCTTCATCGCTGACACCGGCACTTCTCCGCGTGTTGGACGGGCCTCATTGGGTGGTTGCGGCGATGTTTGCTCCTTTTATGGGTTCGGACGAGTCAACCCCCTGGCCGCGGGCATCCACCGAGGGGACCTGGCGATCAGCAATCGGATGTCATCCAAAGGCCTCACTTCGGACGGGAGCATGGCTGGAGGGGTTATTGAATCCACTTTCGCCGTGAGCCGTTGTCGTCAGCCATCTGTCAGCGGATTTTTCGCTTCGAGATCCGAGATGGGGGCGGTTGAATGGCCATGTGGGATGTTGGATATTGGTGAGTCTGTTGATGGACCTTAGGACTCGTAACAAAATGATAATACAAACGAGTAATGGTTCTTTCAGCATAGGAAACCAGTCGAGATTCCAGTCAATCCTACTGTGATGATGCCTATGATTATGTTCTCGATGTCGAGGCTTTGGACGTCGCCCAAGCACCTGCATCGGAGGCACGAGCAACGAATGGGCAAGTCGCGGCAGATCTCATTGCCGATGATGTTCAGGGAATGGAGAGTATTTCTCAGGGCCTTCGGAAGAATTCGAAGCAAACTTTGAGAATTCAAACGCGGATGTCAAATATTCTTGGCTGTCGCTGATGAGACTTTGATCTCGATTGCCTCGACGTATGGTATGTGGTTCGGCTATCTCGTTTTCTTGATCGTCACGATGTCCAGGGCTCTTGACGAGAGTACCTTAGCTCGTCTGTGAAGCCGAACTCATTAAGGATCCTTTGACTGAGGGGATCCAATCTTCTCTATGCTTCGTTCCGATACGACCCAGACATTTCTGCTTTCATCGAGTCCATTGTCAGCTTGTGTCGCACTCCAAGTATTGTGAAGGGACCCATCTAGAAACCATAAGTCATGCGCCATGATCCCTCCGAGGCAGTCTTCTACTTCTACCAGTTTCTGGGTAAGTCTGCTAAGTCTCAACTGAGAAGCATTCCCACCAAACACTGGCTCTGCTTTCTTCGACGGACCCGGCAATCCCTTTCAGTCTTTCAGCAACAAGTTAGCCAAGTCATGGGAGGAGACCATGCACCTTTTGCTTGAGCTGTGATTAGTGATGAGTGGGAAGTGTAGGCAGACTCGAGGCAGCTACATGATACCAGTAGCCTCAGGATGACCTCTCCATGATGGCCACTTCTCGACCACGCGCCGACCATGCACCAGCACTGGACATCGACGACTAAGCAGAGGGTGAAGCTGCCCTTCAGCTGCCCCCTCGAGTCCGGTCTCCCAAAGAAAATCTCTGCAAGCTGAAAATTCTGGAAACCCCGTCCTTCTTCACACCACATCCACATCACTAGACGACAGCCAATATGGAGGAGGACGAGGAGTTCGATCCCATCAAATACGAGAGCTATGCTCGCTTGCCCGACGTTGCAGTATTTGGCTTGACCTCCCCATCCCGGACTTCAGCTGACAGAACACAGGTAGACGAGTTGGGCAGAGGCGAGCGCTTCAAGTGTGATGGCCCCGAGAAACTCCCAAATGTGGATGACGTTTGGCGCAAAAAGACCCCGGAGCTCTATATTGACTGCCCGCCACGAGTCGACCGCAAGGAGGCCGAGGAGAAGGAGGCGAAGAAGTATGCGATGCGTCGTGAGGCTGAGCGCGTCGATGCCCTTTTTCGCTCTCTCGCCGCCAACACCGTCACATGGCCCGCGTCTGCTGCTCTTCCGGCTCTTCTGCCTGCTCTCGCCCCCGACCCCGCCGTCATGCTCGCTCCCCCAACATCTATGGCCTTTGTGGATTCGTTCGCTATACCCGAGGAATACTGGGACGGCGAAAACGAGGACGAGGACGAGAACAAGGACGAAGACAACGATGCAGATGGACAAGAAGAAGAAGACCACGACTGGTACGCAGCATCTGATACTCACGAGCTGGACTGACACTTGCCTAGGTCACACCTTTCTTCCGGCTTGCCCCCTGTGCTTGCCCAGGCCCCGACTCCGACTGACGCCGCCCCTGGTGCTGGCATGTCCGTCAACCTCATGTCGCCCGCACCTGTCCCCTCTTCGCCTTTCGTCGCTTATGGAGGCCAATACCAGGACGTCGATGAGGACAAGAACGACGCAGAGGGATATTATGAGGACGACACGCACACGCAGATCTCTGCCACCGTCATGTGGGATCGCCATCCCGTCAACTCTTTTGTGTCACCCGCGCCTGTGTTTGCGCCGGCGCCCACGCCTGCCTCGTCCGTCATCGCGTATGGTGACAAATACCAGGACGTCGACGAAGACGACAGAGACGACACTGGTCCTCTTGCCTTTCCTGCCGCCCTTCCAGCCCCGGCTCCGACTGCTTCGGTTCCAGCTCCGACTCCTCCGGCTCCAGCTCCGAACGTTGGTGTTCCCGTTGCCAATCCTGCCGCTGTTCCCGCACCGGTCCCGCCTACCCACCCTCCCGCTATCCTTATGCCGTCGAGCAGTTTGCCTGCCGGGTTCCGGATGTACAGAATGCCGAACCGCACAGTTGCTAGCGGCCGTTTCCTGGTGGGCCCCGGCTACGGAGGTAGAGATGTTCGCCCGCCTCCCTTGAACCTCGAATCTTTACACGAGATCGAGGACAGGCCTAAGAGACAAGGCAGCTGCGCATGGTGCCCCTGCAGCAAATGGCTTTGGGACCCGTACTTCTTCATGAGACCAGACAATCCTACTGGTGCCAGGCGCCTCTGCAACCGTTGTGCGTGTCGGTTAGATCTGGACGGCAATTTCCCGGCAGGAATGAATGACTGGCTGGAACAAAATCAGCCAGTGATGTTCCAACTCGTCAGAGGGGACCGAGTGCGTTGAAGGCGTGGTGTGAGAGGCCACAGCTCGGTGAGGGGCATGTGGCAGAGGACCTGGGGAATTTTCCCTAGGCAAGGAGGACGAGAGGCGAAGCCGAGGTACGTTCCTGTCTCTTATTCCTCTCCACCATTATCTACCACTTGGCCACGGGCAAAGGGCTTGGCGAAGATGCCTACTGGGCCATCTACCACACAGAGGGAAGCATCATCAGCAGACATGCCGTCGACGAGCATGACGCTTGGATGAGCCTGACACAGGATCTGGTCCGGTGTCACGTCCGATCGATATGGGCCGGATGCTATGACCATGCGTTGGGCCCAACCCCTGGCAGCTCTGGGACGGAACACTGGTTCCTGGATCGTGTGGCCGCTGGTCTCGGCCTCCCGGGCCGACTCAGGGACTGCCCCGGCTATCTAGATCGTCTGGGGCTTGCCGGCTGTCGTCAGGAAGAGGGGGTTGAAACGCTTTTCGAGATGCTGTCGAGTCGGAGATTCAAAGCTGACGACGGGAGATGAAGCAGATACGATTCCGATACGATGCTTTCGCATTTGCCAAGAAGTGCGAGACTCAAATTATGAAGAAAATCACAAAAAAGGAGGAGAAAGAGAGTTGGGAAAGTACTGTTGGTAAGTCTGTGTTTTCAGTCCACTCCAGTCGGAGCCTGCGTCGTCCCCGCCATTGTCTGATTGTCAAACGGACACCCTCGACTCAAACCAACCAACGGCAAGCAATTATCTCTCTCTGCGGGCGGCCTTCCCTGTCTTGAATTTGATTCCAGCTGCAGCAGCCCCTCGTTCGGCAGTGGGCGGGAATGGGTGGAAAAGGAAAAGACATGCAGGAACACGACGCAAAACTGACTGTTGGCGCTAGGATTTAGACGCTTGCCCCAATCGGAGTCGCCAGCTGGCATCCGGCAGCACCACGTGACTCTGCCGGCCGTTGGAGATGAACGGGTGGGAACGATGCTCCTGCCGTCGTTGCTGCCCAATTGGACGTTTTCAGAGAGTACGTACCGCCAGATTGGGGCCGAAGGTGGTCCGGGAAATTGGACAAGCTCGCCTATCCTTGTCGCTTTCCCTGCCCAGCGCTCATCTCTTCCTTGCTCGCAGAAGTCTGTTCGCGCAGCCGCCCGACCAGACGACCAGACCCCCCCCCCAGCACTGCTCACTATCGGTTGAAGGGTCCATCTCGTTTCTCTTCTTTGGGGAGTGGAGGACATGCAGCGAGGCCATTCTGGGTGAGTTGGCCACTGTTCTGTTTGTCGTCGTGTCCACGATCATCTTGCAAACGCAGCAGCAGCATGGACGAATACTGACTGATGCTCGCCATTCATCTGCAGCTTTCCAAACCCGTTTGCCCCCCGCAACGACTCGACAGCTTTGTTTCTGTTTCTGTTTGCAACGACACACGCTCAGCACGCGACGTGACATCACTCTAATTGCCTTTGCTAGCTCCCGACTCGACTAGAGCAAACGGAACGCCTCCCGCGTCGACTGGCGCACGCGCTAAAACACACGCCTTGCTCCCGAATCCGTGCGTCCAATATTATTCAAAATCCCCTCTCCTTATTACCAGACAATCGACCCCGTCTGCCAGCAATTCGCCGAACTTTTCTTCTGCATGCTTTCCCAGCAGTAGCAGAAGAACCACATCCGCCGCCGCAATGGACGAGAAGCAGGCGCCTGGGAGGCCTAGCGGGATCCCGAGACTCTCTCGTCTACCCGTGCCCAAGCCTACTCCCGTTGCCAACACCAAGCCGACTCCTGCTGTACGGCCTTCTCCTTCCCGCGATGGCCTCAACTCCGGCCTTCGAAACCCCCGTCTTCGACCCGCTGCCTCGCGAGACCAATTGGCACCGGCTCCTGCTCTTAAGAAGCCAGAGCCCCGGCCTGCCCCGAAGCTGAGACGAGAGATACCACCACCGTCTACGACTACGAGAAAGCCCGAGGCGAGAGCTCCCGTCAGCTCTTTGAAGAGCGTTCGCAGTATCCCACGACTCAACGCGGTGGAACCGGCCGTTACCAAACCCCCGACGCCTCCAGAAGATGCCGAATACGTCGTTGTTTCCCGCCCGGCCAGCTCTTCAGGACGTACGTCCGAACCCTCTGCTTCGACACCAGAGGTGCCGCCTTTGCCCCAAGATTCGAGCTCTCCCCCCGATGACGCCGAACCCGATCTCCCAGACTTCGGTACACCGAAGTTCAAGCCACGACCTTCGCTTGCCGAGAGAACAATGGAGACCCTTTCCCAGCTGCAGTTATCGCCTGCTCTAAGCAAGAAACCCTCCTCTTTCTTTGACCAAGAAGGCGTCCTACGACCGCGTTCTCGGTCTGGCAGCGGAAACTCGAGGCCCGGCTCAAGTTACACCTCCGACGGCTCTCTGCGCCCAACTTCGCGTCATAGTCGACCAGGCTCAAGCTCCGGCCCCGAAGAGAACCCGTTCGCCGCTCGAGGGCCCATGGCCGCACCCCGACCTCTGGGTGCCATCGAGGGTACACCGTCAAGGCGGGTGTCTGGTATCAGATCTCTGAAGGCACCAACAGTGAGGGCCACTCCGCAAGCTTCCCCGTCAGCACGTCCGTCTTCCTCAGGGATCCCGGCCTACCAGAGCCCCAGCCCAACGAGAAGTGCAATTGCTATGCCTCCTCCGACAACGACGACCCCAGTGTCTGCGCGTTCTCTGAAGCCTCGAGCATCCGTCAACGGGCTGTACAAGAAGCCTTCTCTTCCAACTTTGAGCCAGCCATCACCGGCAGCAGCCGGTTCTCCTTCCCTGAAGCCAGCTCCGAAGCTGAAGTCTGCTAAATCATATGGTGCTCTCCGAAAGCCTACGCCAACCAAGTCCAGTCTCCCTGCTCCTCCGACGCTAGCTGAGCCTCCTGCCAACGAGTTCAGGAAAGCCTCAGCCTCTCTACGCGATCAGATTGCCAAGGCTAAAGCTGCGAAGCGTGCGGCGGATCGTCAAGCTGCAGAGGTTGCGGAGGTCACGGGGGTAGCTGAGGCCGAAGAAGCAACACCTGCTCCTGCTCCCGTTTCAACGCAGGAATTAGAAGTACCTGATCTACCGAAACCGCTCAAATCCCCCATTGTGCCAGCGGACGAAGGCTTTGACTTTGGCATTGGTGTTGCCATGACCACCGCTCCTGCCCCCTTCGACACCAGTGACCCTTTCAATACCAAGCGATCGGAGAACGCGACTGGAAAGATCATCCAGCAAAGGATCGGAGCTGGTCGAAGCACCGGAAGACTTAACATCGCAGCGCTCGGCTTGAAGGAGATCCCCACCGAGGTTCTCAAGATGTACGACATGGAGTCTATGGGCACTTACGACGGCTCATGGGCCGAGAGTGTCGACTTGACAAGATTTGTGGCTGCCGACAATGAGCTAGAGACTATTGCCGATTCGATTTTCCCCGATGTCCCGCCCGAGCAGATGGCCGAAGACGAGGACTCCAGCGGCAACATTTTTGGTGGCCTCGAGGCTATGGATCTGCACGGAAACTCGTTGATTTCCTTGCCGATGGGATTGAGACAGCTTCGCTTGCTCACATCTCTCAACCTGGTAAGCCTACACGTTTCAACTTCACGAATTCCCAGCTGACATACAGCAGTCGCAAAACCGACTAGCCAACAACTGCCTGGATGTCATCACCGAGGTCACTGCCCTCCGTGACTTGAAGCTTGCCAACAACCTCTTGTACGGCCCCTTGGACCCCAGCTTTTCCAAGCTTGAGAACCTCGAGATCTTCGACCTTCACGGCAACGAGGTCTCATCTTTGCCCGATGGAATCGAGAATCTCTCGAGACTTCGCATTCTCAACTTGAGCAGCAACAGCTTTGAGTCGCTCCCGTTCACAAGCCTGTCCAAGCTGCCCCTGACGGAACTTCTCGCCCAGAAGAACAAGCTCTCTGGCACCCTCATCGAAGCCGGAGTGCAGACTCTGTCGAACCTCCAGATGCTTGACTTGTCTTCCAATCAGCTTACCTACTTGGTGTCTCCGGGCGCCACCATTAGCCTTCCTTCTGTTCACCAGCTCGTGCTGTCCATGAACCGACTCAAGGAACTACCAGATGTCAGCTCTTGGATCAGTCTCCTTACTCTGACCGCCAACGAGAACGCCATCCCTGAGTTCCCCACAGGTTTCACTAAGCTCGAGAAGCTCAGGAACGTCGACTTTTCCGCCAACGACATCCGCGTGGTTCCGCCCGAGATCAGCAGGATGGACAACTTGACCATGATCCGCCTCAGTGGTAACCCGTTGCGTGACAAGAAGTTCGTCTCTGCTACCACGGAAGAGCTGAAGGATGTTCTGGCCGGCAGACTTGAGCCACCTCCGCCATACCAGGATGAGAACGCCGAAGCCCCCGCCCCTGATTCGACCGACTTTGACGATATTGCCGACGGGTTCGGGAAACTCACCATCAAGGATGCGCCCCCGTTGCCTCCCGTTCCTGCCGATGAGGAAGAGCGCTCGGATGATAACTTCGCCACGCCCCCGACGTCGTCGACTACCTCACCTGCACGTGCTCGTTCCCAGACTCTGTCCAAGGAGACATGGCCTGTCAAGCCGGGAGGCCTTCTGGATCGATCCAACACTCAATCATCCTCACTGCACCCTGTCGTCTGCTCAAAGGTGGCCGCAGACAACAAGGTTCGCGAGGTCCAATTGCACCACAACCTTTTCACTTGCTTCCCGAACTCGCTTTCCTTTTTCGCTGAGACCCTTGGCGCTTTGTCTCTTGCCCACAACCAGCTCGTTGGCGAGACCTATCTGACCGAGGAGCTCGAGTTGCCGTCGCTGCGTGAGCTGAATCTGGTTAGCAACCACATCACCAGCCTCGCCCCGCTGACTACGCACTTGAATGCTCCGCAACTCGAGAAGATGGACGTTTCGCTGAACCGCATCACTGCACTGCCGCCTAACTTGCGACTGGTCTTCCCTCGTCTGGTGGTCCTCTTGATTGCAAACAACCACTTGATCGAGCTGGACCCTAACGCCATCAAGGGCCTCGAGGTTGTCGACGCTGGCAATAACGACATCGCTCACTTAAACCCGAGGATCGGCCTGCTCGCCGGCGCCGGCGGACTGAAGCGTTTGGAAGTCTCCGGCAACCGCTTCAGAGTTCCCAGGTACAGCGTCCTGGAACGTGGCACGGAGGCGACCTTGCGTTGGCTCAGGGGGCGGGTGCCTGTAGCGGAGATGGCATCCTGGAAAGAGAGCCAAGGTGACTCGGGCAACGGCTCCGACACCAGCTTGGCTGATGTTGACTAGATGGAGATGGCATCGGATGGTTCGGGGGATTTGCTTTCGGGGTTTGGGGCTTTGTCTTTCTGCTTCTTGCACATACTATTCCTTACCACTTGTGGCGCGCCAAGATACCACATTGTGCTTTGAGCCGACGGAGTTGAGGGATCTTTGTCACCAGTCGTCTGATATCCTGTACTACTACTGTATAATACTATACTGTTAATATCAACTAGAGAGAAGGGTCTCTGGGAATTATAGTTTTCGTTCCTGGTGATCTAAATTTTCGGTGACGCGGGCCGTAAAACGTGGACACACACCATGGCTGCCTGAACTGCCGAAGAGGTTCTCAATATTGATCTCGCACCCTTTCACCCTGTTCCCTCTCCGCAACAAGTCCCATGGTCATTTAAGGCTGATTGTCTCCCAGCCCTCTCTTCTTGAACTTCCCTTTAGTGCCATCGATTGATCGACAGTCTACACACTTGCTTTGCTTCATTCCAACGCTCGTACAAATCAAATAACAAACTTCGCATCTTGGACACCTCAAGATCTCGTTCACACAAACACTTCCGCACAGTTATGTCGCCCTATGAGGACCTCAAACTCATCTCGACAGTCACCACCGAGCGTCACCATCGCCATCGACTCAGTGAAGCGCATTCTGATTGGGAAGCCCGCGCTATGCGTTCGAGGCTTTTTTCTGGGACTGGGGCGCAGCAGCCGGACTCTGCGGCCGAAGACGAGGCGTACGTTATCGTTGCCTCACCGGACACGCCTTCTACCGAGGGCGCTCATCACGATCAGGCCTCCGTTGTCACCGATCCAGCGCCTTTTTCTGGTACGCAGCAGCTGGAACCCGTCAACAGCGACGACGAGCAGAAGGAAGCTCAACGCGATGATATGGCTTCGCCTTCTGACCGCGAGGGCCATGGGCAGCGTCTAATCAATCTTGCACCATCAGACTGCGTGGCGAAAGCGCACCGTTCGGCGCTCTCCCGCGACACCGAAAACCTGTCTAATGCCATCGGAGATCAAAAGACGCCTGGCATCGTCGAACTGGTATCGTCCCAGACACAATCTGACCAGTCTCCGCCGAGTGAGACCAACATCACTACAACTACAACTGGCGGGCTGCGCTTTCTCGAGGCGCCTTGCATTTTCCTCCTCGCCCATTATGTCAGCTATCTCCTGCTCACACTCCCGGCGCTGATTGCCAACCTGGGCCGCACAGACAAGACTCCACCCACGCTCTGGCAGCTTTGCGCCTTCGTGGCGATGTATGCAATCTTGGCGGTGGTTCGGGACAAGTGGATAGTCTATATGAGATCTGACCCTGAGCAGAGGGAGCCTGAAGGTACGACAACCATGGCGGCGCTTAGAGATTTCGGCACGGCTGTCGCGGCGAAGGCGGCGCGTGTGGCGCTCTGGTGTGCGGTGGGAGAACTTTTTGGCATGACTAGGCTTTTCTTGTCTTTCATGGAGAAGTGGGAGTTTTTTGGACTGTTGGAGGGCTCGAGGGGTTTGGGACTGTGGTGAAGTATGGATTGAGGTTAGGTTGCCTCTTGTTTTTTTCAGCGTCAACGACCCCGGCGGTGGGATACATAACTTAGACAGCGGACATCAAATGTTAATGTTTTGGCCCCTTCACTACGCAAGTAAAGGTGATGATCAATCCCGATGTGATGACATTTAGCCTTTGTAAGTGGCAGGCTTGTTGTGCATAGTTATCCTTTCTGGAATGTTGAAATACGATTCCGTAGGTCTTCTCCGCCACCTTGGAAACAGCTGAGATGATTGAAACTCTACAGCTGCTGTCATCGATATTATCCTGTGGCAGCTATCATCCCAGAAGGCCAAAGCATCGGCCCGGATCTAAGTCCATCGTCTTTCAAGCACTGACTGAGTGCGATGACAGGAAGCTGGAATCATTCGGGAGGGAACTGGATTGAACGAGTTGAAGCATTGGTCAAGAAATTTGCAACGGGAATGATTTCCTGTTCACACGAAACCCATGAATCATGATGAAGTTGCTATGCATCATTGAGAAATTTTCGGAGGTGGCTTCTGGAAAGATTGAATGCCGGTTGAGGATTAGGCATCGTCGATCATGGACAACATGGCTCTGGAATCCTAGGAAAAGAATCTATCATCTTATTCAAGTACTTAGACTTATGAAGAAAGTGACATTGTACCGATGCGCGTAGACTTAGATCAGGCTGAGGCTGGTTCATCTGCACGAATATTCCTACATAGTATGCGCCATGCCAGTAGCTCAGGCTTGGCGACGAGGATGAGAAAACTTCATCAATTCTCACATTTCCGAATCTTTGAGGCATGCCTGGTTTGACGGTTGGTTTCTTTTGGCGTACCAGCCTGTTCCGGGGTTCATTCTCAAGAGGCCCGATTCTCATCGCCAGATCTCTCAAAGATTCGTGGAGTGGGAACAATCAACTGCGACCCTTTTTCTAGAGCCTGACAGGATGTTGCATTCTCCTTTCTTGCGGAGTGGTGCCTTTTCCGTAGCTAGAAGCAGCTCAGCAGTCACATCTTGGCTTCTCAGCATAGCGGATTTTCATTCGCTCAATTGCCGCCGATTCACGCCCTGTAAGCCCACCTGGAGTGGCATGGTCCAGCTGCACGAGAATGGGTATTCGTAACGGTAAGCAAAGGGTCTGCAGACAATAAGAAGCCATCGACGGCCCGGTCCTCCCTCCACGCTGACGGATCCCCGGCCCATCATCTTCATTCCGACTCTGCGCTGAGGTGCGCGCCCCACTACGCGATGGACGATGCGACCGCAGACTTCTTCCAAATCGCGGGGGAACGCGAATACTGGACCGGATACGACATTGGCAGGGAGTTTGAGCTTGCGAAAATTGATGATCACGACTGGATTCCGGAGGAAACGAGAGCCAAGGTCCGTGAATGGGCAAAGACGAAGACGGTCCCGGCCCGACCCTGTGATGATGGCCAGCAGAAACCGTACAGGCCCATCGTCGATCCGTACGAGATACGCGTCCTCGAGGTCAAGCCGGGCGCCAAGGGGGATAGGCTCCGAGGCTCTCTACACCACTGCTCGGTCGAATACGTCGACCCCGAACCATACAACCAGTCCTTCATCAGGGTGCGCTACGCGCTCTCGATGGACGATCTCGTTACCCCAATCTCCTACACTGCGTTGAGCTATACCTGGGGCGAGAACATCTTCGACGCAATGATCGAATGCGACGGCCATAAAAAAGAAATCACAAAGTCCCTCGAGTCCGCCCTCCTCCATTTCCGCAGAGAAGACGAGTCCGTGATGCTTTGGATCGACCAGATCTGCATTGATCAGGGCAACAACGACGAAAAGGGGCAGCAGATCCCCCTGATGTCAAGAATCTACCAGCGTGCCACCAATACTGCGATCTGGCTCGGCGAAGCGGGCGAAGGCTCTGACGTGGCGATCAAGCTCCTCGAGGAGGTCAACATCCGGTTGCAGTTCACGACGGAAGACGATATTGACCCGAAGGAGTTCAACAGGATCGGCCTGCCGAAGCCTGATTCACAGGATTGGCGTGCTCTGTGGAAGTTGCTGTCACGGAAGTGGTTTACGAGGGTGTGGATCATACAAGAGGTCATTCTCTCGAGGGACCCATGGGTTGCTTGTGGTGACTCGCTCATCACTTGGGAGAATCTATCCAGCGGGTGCATGCAACTCGTCACGACTGGAATCTCGGCGTGGCTGCAGAAGAAGGCTGCTAAGTGGGCTGCTGAGGAGACTGCCAAGGATGCTGCCAAGGATGCTGCAAAAGCGGTTGCGAAGGAGGCTGCAAAGGGGGCTACGAAGGGCAGTAAAACGGATGATCGAGACATGTGCGAGCTGGCGTGGCAGCTTCACCGGATGAAGCAGTCGGCCCAAGACAGCGATAACACGCTGGTGCCGTTGCTCGTACAGTCCCGTGGGGCGCAGTGCTCTGATTTGAGAGACAAGGTGTATGGATTGCTTGGGGTGGTCAACGAGGATCATCAGGCTGCGGTGAAGGTCAGCTACGCGGACGATTTCCCTGCTGCGAAGCTGTACCAGCAAGTCGTGGCGCACCATGTCTCTCAACACCCCACGAGATGGGCACTGCACGAGGTTCTGGCGTGCGTGGACCATGATTCACCCCATTTGCCTTCTTGGGTCTCGGATTGGAGCAGGCCTCGTCTGACAGTTGCGTTGGGATACACGACTGCTTCCCAGGGTATTTACAGAGCCCATGGGAGATTTGAGCGGAAGATGTGGATTAGCGAGGATTTTAAGGACTGGGAACGGTTGCCTGTACGAGGCGATGAGATGTCCGTACAAGGGTTCCTCATCGATACCATCTCTACAACCAGTCGGGTTATCGAGAACCCTGATCTTACGTTCGATTACCCAATGAACGGCAATCAGACTCTGCTCGAAGTCTGGAAGTTTGTTTCCGAGATGGCGACGTACCCGCAGCCGCACACGCTGTTCTCTGCGCTGTGTCAGACTCTCGTGGCGGGGAGGAACGACACCGGGAAGCAGAAGTGTCCAGAGTCGTACGAAGAGATCATCAGCCTTTTGCTGGACGCGTCAACTGGTATGGAACCTTCTATCTATGGGCAGACATATACCGCGCGGCAGAAGAAGCCCAAAGGAAGAGGCAGGCTAGAGTTGGAGAGGCTAAAAGATCACAAAGTGGGATCTGCTGGAGATACGTTCCAGGAGCTTCGCGCAGCGATGGTTAATGCGTTGAAGAATCGGAAGTTGGGCATCACCGAGAAGGGCCATCTGGGATTGTTCCTTGGGCATGCTAACGTGGGGGACCAAGTGTACGTGCTGGAAAACTGTCATGTGCCTTTTGTGATGAGGAAGATAGACAACGGGAGGTTTCGACTTGTGGGGGAGTGCTACGTGCATGGGATGATGCACGGGGAGGCTATTGGCCCAGATGCAAGTTTGACTGAGATGGTTCTCGTTTAGGAAGTTGAATATCCCCGAAACGAATAACATGACTTTCCTGAGCCGGCCCAGAAACCAACGAGAGAGATGAGTTTACCTGAAGGCTAACGCAACCCATTTCTGACATCACTCCGCATGCTCAGCTAGACTCAGCTTATGCCATAGCCACAGCCACATCCACTGCCTGTATCACGCCCGGCATCTGACAGGCCGTCGAATAGTAGCGCGTCAGCACTCGGGATGCTGAACCACCCGTTCTCGATGCAGAACGTCTTGAATCTCACCGACTCGGTTCAGAGTCTAGCCGAGCTTTATGAAGTCGGTGCAATACGTGCGACTCGGGATAGTTGCTTGAATGCTGAGTGCGCTGTTTGTACAGCAGTTCATACTACATTAACCGTAGGAGTTAAAGAGCATATAAATCATTCCAGAAGTAAGGCTCCAAAGCGCAAACTGTCCACCCGAGTACTTACAAGCTACTCTCCTCTCACTCTTGCATACATCTTGAACAACTCCGCCAACATCACGAATATCTACGAAAATACCACACAACACGTTCACGGTCAACATGCGACTACAACTATTTCTCGCTGCGATGGCAACACTTTTGGTGGCCCAAGCTGCGACCAATCTTGGTCTTTCGAGTCTGAAGGCTAGCACCACCTGTAATGATACCTGCAAAGAGCTTGTCTTCCGCGTTTCCTCCTGGGAAAAGTCACAAAGAGCTTCAGACTTCTCCTTTTATGCGGTTCCCACCAACTTTTCCAAGACCATGGAGCCAGGCATCGTCTTGTCCCTCGAGCGAACTACGAATCCGACGAACTACACCGTACCAACACCCCTGACCATGTCTCGAATGATGTACACGACCGAAGACCTCAACGGTACCATCATACCTGCATCAGCGTACATCCTGTGGCCCTCAAGTCCGCTAGAAGTTCCGGCCCCTGATTCATCAAACTCAACCCACTGGCCTCTGGTCGCTTGGGCACACGGCACCTCAGGAGGTCTGGCGCCATGCGCACCGAGCAACTACCGAAACCTACAGTATCACTTTCAAGTTCCATACCTGCTCGCTCTCCAGGGTTACGTTGTGGTAGCGCCGGACTACGCCGGTCTGGGCGTTGCAAAGCTACCCAACGGCGACAACATCGGCCATCCTTGGGCTGCGGTACCAGCCCATGCTAATGACGTTGCAAACGCCATCATTGCCGCTCGCAATGCTTTTCCTGAGTATCTCACACCCGATGGGCCGTTTGTCGCCATGGGCCACTCCCAGGGCGCCGCCGCCGTATGGTCGTTCACGGAAAGACTGGTCGACAGGCCAATCCCAGGATACAAAGGCGCGGTTGCATTCGCCCCGCCAACAGACATCATCAACCAGACCAGAAAGGCCATAGAAGATCATGAGGCAAACAAGACCCAGTTGTGGACCAACACCTTCTTGAGCCTTCAGCCGTCCTTGGCAAAAGGAATAACGACGGCGTATCCGGCATTCAACTTGTCCGGATTGACCGAGGCCGGACGCGACAGATGGGTCAACGTCCAAGAGGCTGTGCAAGGCTGTCTACCCACAAAAGGAGTCTCGGGCCTCGGCATCCCATTAGGTCAGCTGGCCTATCACAACTGGACAGAGCAACCGGCTGTGTTGGACTTCGAGAAGAGGAGCGCTGTTGGAAGAAAGTCTTTCAAAGGTCCTTTGCTGATTGCGGCCGGGGACAAGGACTCAGTAGTTGACTTCAAAAACATGGAGGTCAACGTGAGGGACACATGCGGAATGCTGCAAGGTGCCGGTGTCCAAGAGAGTTTGGAGTTCTTGGAGTACACTGGGCAAAATCATTTTCCCGTCATCCAAGCGAGTCAAGGTAAGTGGCTCGGCTGGATCAGAGATCGCATTTTCTCTACTGCGAGCGTTAGCCGCGGATGCAAGTTTGGGACTGTGCGAGGATTCCAACGCGAAAAGGCTACCAACTCCGTTTTTCCCAACTTTTTGGTCGAAGTGGCAGGGCCTGGTGAAGGCTGGAAGTACAGTCTTTGAATTAATCTTGGCATTGATTAGAAAGGTAATGTAGACGGGTATGGTGATTCTTCATGTGCTTTAGCATCGGGGAAAGCGATTGGTTTTATCAGTTTTCAAGCATTTTTTTGAGTTCCTTAACATTGAGCGTTATTACCCGAAACGCCGTCGTAAAGTGGTAGAGACATACGTACGGCTCAGAGATGAACAGCCAAACTTGGACCACTCGTTTCCATTCAAATATACAGCACACTCTCATCGATTGGTAAGACTCTGTCCAAGATAATTTCAAAAGCTTATGAGTCCGGCGTGGACAACATTCTCAAAATTGCTCTCGTTTCGCCAAAGTTCGTTGACCAGTGTCGTGAAAATCCGAAGGTTCCCAGCTCAGTGGGCGAACCCAACACCGTAGAAAGAAATAAGATAATTCTTGACGTAAACGCAAGACTTAAAAATGACGTGAGTTTCCTATGTGCAGATCAACTCAACTTAAGCAGCTGCACAGCACGGGGTTTGGGATGACCCCGCCAAACGTTGCGGTGCGGGAGAATCAGAGCGCGATCGATCCTGGCTTTAGGTTCGTCCCATTCTCAGGGGTTCCGCTATAAATAAACACAAAAAAGAAACTTGGCTTTTTGCTTAAGTGTAGAAAGTTTCGCTCAGACACTAGAACAACAAACAAGGTTTCAACCGAACTTCTTCTCTTTTTCGTGACTGGTGGAATCGGGTGGGCCCCGTCTTCATCGTACCAGACAGTATTCGGGTGGGAGGACTTGGTTTCAAGAGATTCCCCGGTGGTCTGAGTCAAGGAAAACGGGTCATGCGCCGGCGGTAATTAAGACTAGCATCTCCGTCGAAGGACTTCGCTGCGACTGATTGATGTATCGTACTCGCGGTCTTTATCTTGTTTGGGAAACGCCTCGTTTGCAGATGAATCAGCTCAACTACGTGTGGCCAGATGTAGATCAATCTAGGTAGAATTACGATACCCTCAGCCTATTCTATCGTACACAGCCCTCATACGTGACATTAGGACAGATATCCGTATTACAAATTAGGAACGGATGTCGCGAACATTATTTGAAGAGCCTTAACTCTCTTCACTGAAACTCGTCTAACTTGCGCCGCGCGCGACGCTTAGCCTTCCGCCAAATTGCGAGACCAGCAACGATAAGAAGCCATGTCGCCACTAAGGTTTCATGATATCAGCAAACCGCCATGGTTATATGGTAGGAGACATGACTTACCGATTCCAGCCAAGAAACCGAAAATGGCTTCGCTGGATATGACTATGAAGCTTTGGTTGAGACCGAGATCTGGCGTTGTTGGCTGAAGTCTTCGAGGACCACCATCATTCCTCAAATCAGGGGCAGGAGTTGGAAGATCCAAGGCAGCAGTTACTGTGACAGGCGCAGGGGTGACAGTAACAAACACTGTCGTTCTTGGGCCCTCTGAGCTTGGTATCATCGTAACAGTGACTGGCGGCGGCGGTGGTGGAGGAGGAGGTGGCGGCGGAGGAGGGGGTGGTGGAGGACCAGGCGGTCCTGGAGGCCCAGGGGGACCGGGTGGACCAGGAGGAGGCGGCGGCGGGGGAGGCGGCGGTCCAGGTGGCCCAGGGGGCCCTGGAGGCCCGGGAGGTCCTGGAGGTCCCGGAGGAGGAGGAGGCGGCGGCGGCGGCGGTCCTTCAGGGGGAGGTGGTGGAGGAGGTGGCCCTTCAGGAGGTGGAGGAGGAGGGGTTCCAGGAGGTCGTGGAGTTCGTGGAGTACCTGGAGGTGGAGGAGGGGCATCCGGGGGAGGCGGCGGTGGCCCTCCATCCGGGGGCGGCGGTGGTGGTCCAGGTGAAAGGGGAGGAGGCGGCGGCGGCCCTGGAGGAGGAGGACCTGGCGCGTTTGGCGGCGGAGGGCCAGGTCTCCCAGGAGGAGGCGGTGGTGCCTGTCGTCTCTCGTGTTGAGAACCAACATCGAGAATCAGATTGGACGGAGGCGACCTCTTACGGGCCAAAGCAAGACGAGTCATCTTGTTTTCACGTTTCTGTCAATGACAACTGTGAGATATTAGCATCCGTTGCTTGAGATGAGGTCTTTGCTCAATGAGTGTGAAAAGTAAGAAGAACAAGACGAAGCATTTGTCAACTAGCATCCAGGGTGTTGAAAGGTCCAAGTAATGGTCCACGTACCGTGTTACCGACGATCCGACTTGTGTCATCCGTTTCTGGTCAATGCCTTGGTGGTGAAGCGCTCAGCCTCGTCGGCTCTTGAAGCGTTAGCGGGATCGCTAAACACGTCGAGCACAAGACTAGTGAGACGGATGGCGGTTGACGGCAAGGAACCGAGATGGGGATCCTACCATAAATATTGGCCGTAGTTGTAAGTCCCCAGTCAGGAAACCTATTCTTGGCGATGCGTGGCGGCACGGAACTCCATCTGATGTTCGGTGCGTCACTTTGGAGATGGTTTCACCTCCTCTGATCCCGAGCCAGTGAGGCTGCAGTGCCTGCAGTAAGTAAAACTCAAACTCGACTTCCGATGAGCGACAGAAACCTTGTTTGAGGCTAAATACAGGATGGACTCTGTTGTGATGCGAGCCTGTCGTACTGGGGCGGGAAGCCGGCGAAGATTTCCTCTGCCATCCCTCTTGCGCAAGCGTGTCACAGTGAGCGGGGGACACTCGATCTAATGCACTCGTTATCGTTGAATTTGAAGACCGAGGGTCGTTTTCTGCCCGTGAAGCCCGGACAATTTCCCCATCTGAACTCGGGATTGCGGCACTCGACAGCAAACAACGGGCGATCGACGGTTTCATCAACACTGATTGACAGCTCCGGCACCGACATGGCTCAATGATGTTTCTACATGGTCACGAGCCGACTCGCCGTTATCATCAGATAGGTCCGGGAGTCTTCCAGACAGCGATCCGGATAACCGACGTGCAGGTATCTATAATTATCGAGGGGTCGGAAAAAGAAAGAGAATATGCTACGGGTGATCTGCATGTCGCTATCATTGAGCCACAGCGTTGGCGATCTGTCCTAAGTTAAGTAAGCTTTTGTCCTGCATGTGGTGAACCGGTCTGAATCGTTCCTGTATCGAGGATGAACTCAGTTGATATGACATGACTAGGAGGGTGAGTACCTTTCCTGTCGCCATTGAAAGCTCGCATGAGCTGTTGAATGGCAGATCATCCATGCCCAAGACAGCAAATAATCGACCGCGCTTATCACATTTCTCGAGCTTCATTCCAAATGTCATGATTTCTAGCTCCAAAGCTACCAGAGCTTTCAGCTTGAGCTTGAGCTCAAAGCATGCTGAGTTTAACTCGGCACTTATTCCAACGAACGCCGAGATAGCACTGGACCTTCCTTCAGTCGCAATAATCCCAATCGTAAGAAGCGGGGCTCGCGTCTCCCCGGATGTTTCTCTGTAGTTTATCAAAGATAGAGCACGGGTTGCCGAGTTGTTCTGTGGGGTATGGTGGTTTCATGCTGTTCCGGTGGTGGGCACTGAGGCTGCCCGCGAAGCTTCCGGACAGGGGTCGGCTCATGCCTACGGCGTGTTTCCTCCTCCAATATTGGGAAACAAACAATAGAAGGAGATGCTTGCGGGATAAACACCGAATTCCGGAGCACACCATAATCGGGATATTCAGTGTGTTTTCTGTAGCCGCTTTATTGAGCCGAGGAATGCACCCCTCACCTCGTCCCGCCCACCTTGGTGATATCCAGCATCATAGGTGGTGAAATTAGACCTCTCTAGGTGAACTCACTTTCATCAAACTGCACCAACCAAAAGTGGACTGTACCGAGAGGTATCTTGTACGGCGACGCTAATGCAAATACCATATGCTCGCGCTGTACTACGCCCGTGGCGGATCTACCCGGCGGGTCCGGAGATTTCCTCTGGGCGAGATGTAGGCGAATGCTTGCTTCATGACCTGAGTTTGGATGCAGCTGGCATCTGCGTGAATGACCCTTCTTCTGGCCTTTTATCTCCATTGAGACTGACAATGAAGAGGAGACATTTTAAGGCCATACTCGATTGCAATACTCCAAGATTACAGTTCAAGTTTGGTTCAGAAGATAATTCACTCACCAGTCTTCTGTATGGAGAGTCGAACCAGACCTTGATGAGGCAAGGCGACATCTCATCATGCTAGATCCCACTACGAGCTCGGCGTTTAAATCTGCACGGCGTCTGACATGCATCCACAAGCACCGTTGTATGCTGAGTACAAGAAGGTCCGGATATTGAATTGTCAATCAAAAGGCGTCGTTGCGGGACTGATGTTCTATTTCCGCGGAGGATCGACGACTCAAGCGAATCAAAATGCCCAAAGGGCGGATATGTGGAGCAAACTTGGCAACAAGAGTCATCAAATCCGACTGCTAAGTAATGCTTACTAGAGGGAATTTCTTTACACCAATTCTCTAATTCGTAATAATTCTACCTTGGAAGCATCGTCTGCAACCTACAAACTTCTTAGTATCGTCGTCAAGATTACATATTTTGCGAGTTTCATTCACTCAAATTCCATATTCACAATGTCCGGGTCGTCCATTTCATCACTGGTTGACAGCGTTCTGGATGTCATAGGCAGAACACCATGCGTCCGTCTCCGCAAAGTTGTTCCCGAAGGCTGCGCCGACGTCTACGTCAAGCTGGAATACCTGAACCCAACCGGCTCTTACAAAGACCGGATGGCGAGAGCCATCGTCGAGGAGGCCGAGCGGAGAGGTGATCTGAAGCCTGGCATGACAGTTGTCGAAGCCACCGGAGGCAGCACCGGCTCATCACTGGCCTTCGTTTGCACTCTCAAGGGATACGGCTTTCGTGCAGTCTGCTCAAATGCTTTCGCTGCCGAAAAGCTGCGGACAATGGCTGCTTTCGGCGCTGACGTCGACATTGTCCATGGCCCAACAGGCAAAATCACTCCGGACCTCTTCCCAAAGATGGTGGAGCGTGCAAAGACACTCGCTGAAGAAGACAACCATTATTACGCCGCCAACCAGTTCAGAAATGCAGATGGTATTGTGGGGTACAAGAGTTTGGGGCAAGAGCTTTCGGCCCAGTTCCCGCAAGGCATTGACGCTTTCTGCGGTGCCACCGGCGGGGCTGGCATGATCATGGGAACGGCCACGGTACTGAAGGCGTCGGATCCTAAGACGCGCGTCGTTGTTCTTGAGCCAGAGTCGTCTCCGGTGATCACCAAGGGTCATGGAGGCACTCATGGTGTAGAAGGCATCAGCCCAGGATTCTTCCCTCCATTGCTGGATAAGTCGCTTTATGACGAGGCCCGCGGTATCTCTGAAGAAGAAGCACGAAAGATGTGCCGAAGACTTGCCAAAGAGGAGGGCCTACTCACTGGAACCTCAACTGGGCTGAACGTTGTTGCCGCTATCCAGCTGGCGAAGGAACTTGGGCCTGGCAAGACTGTTGTCACCGTTGCTTGCGATACTGGTCTGAAGTATATGAGCGGAGCGCTTTACGAATAAACACAGGCACTACGTATCAAAAATGCTTTTTAGAAGTGACTCCCTCACGATCCGACTTTCAGGTTCGCTGAGACTGAACTAAAAACTTTGAGGTAGAAAATCTGCCACGCAATCCCGCTTAAGCAAGCTAGAGAGAACCGAGAAGAGGACGCTTCGGTTCACAGAGCAACAAGCGCTGATTTGCTGGAATCGGTGGAGACGGGGATACAAATCAAGGTGCGCGGGCAGCAGAACAGAGCGCGAATGTGGCATGCTCTTGCGTAAATCAATTGACACAAACGGGCAAGGAGTAGGCACTAGTTTGTCTGAGACCGGGAATAAGAATCCTGGATATGATCATATTCAGGGCGGAAATATTGCGCTCTCTTGTCTGCCGATGAATCTAGCCGAAGTGCAAGTGGGTTTAAGTCCAATCAGAAGAGTGTGAGTCAACAGCTGAGTTCGAACAAGCTGAACGGCTATTAAAGTAATCGACAAATCGTCAACTTTGTAACCTGGACTTCTGCATATCAACAGCGACCATTGAGTCAACCTCTACCAATCTCTGCACACAGTTTCGAGCATGGCCTCATTTGATACAATCTTTTCATTCAAGTGCGTTACCAATAATTACTGTCGTTACTAAGATGGGTGCTACGTCAACCGGAGACAACAACGGGAGAGCCGAAGAGCAAGTTGAGACTCAGGAGGAGATCAAACACACCAAAGCGTAAGCACTTGTCAATTTACTCCTCGATGACTGCTGTTCCCTTCGCCGCGATTACCCTGCGGTACCCGAACCTTCAGGACTAACACGCAATACAGTCGCTACGCTTTGATTCTCATCGCTGCTTTCATGATCAACTTCATAGTTGGTGGATTGCTCTTTGGCTATGGCGTGTATCAAGCTCTTTATGAGACTATGATACAAGAAGAGGGGTCGCCCTTCGTCGGTGCCACATACGCCGAGATAGACCTCATTGGCAGCGTATCGGTGTCCGTCATGATGATGGGAGCACCCTTTGTCGTAGCGTGGGTGAAGAACTCCGGTCCCAAGCTTGCCATCTGTACTGGCGGTATTCTCTTTGGGTTGGCCCATGTGCTGGCAAGTTTCGGAACCGCTCTTTGGCACTTCGAACTGTCCCAGGGCCTGCTCTTGGGTATTGGGTGTTCTCTCTCATTCTTGCCCTCAATGACTGTTGCGCCAACATGGTTTGACAAACACAGAGGTCTTGCTGTTGGCTTTGTGTCTGCTGGCACTGGTGTTGGCGGTCTTGTGTGGGCACCTGCGATAACAGCAGCCGTGAAGACGATCGGGTTCCGTAACACTCTACGCATGACTGGTGCCCTGTCGGCATTCCTGATTGTTATGTCTGGGCTTTCCCTTAGTTGGGAGCCGTCCATGGCTGCCCACCTGCGCGAGGAGAAGGCGACGGACGCCCATCGGAAAGGGTTTTGGCGTATTCCATTGCCGACATGGGAGACTGCCAAGCA